TAATTTTTTTATTTTCTGAGGAACAAGATTCCCTTCTCCTCCTCTCTTCCCTTTTTCTCTTATGCTTTCCAGAACATAAGAGCGTTCAAATTCTAGTAGCAATCTGATCATCCAAGGTTTTCTCATTCATTTTTATATAGTTACAAGAGTTCTAACAATAAAGACTAAAGTTCAAGTGGGAACTGATCTGCAGAAGTGGCAGCAGTGGGAAGTGCTTGTGAAGGGTGAGCATAAAATACTAACACCAATTTCATGCTACTGCATGAAAGTCAGTTTCATTATTTCAGAGTTGCACTTGACTAATTTGAGTTTTTATTGAACCTTAGCCTGAGTGTAAAATATGTGGAAAGCAATACCTGTCTGGTCAACAGTGGCAGCTATAAGAGAAAAGACTGCCTCTTCCAACCTAAAAATTCTTAATATTCCTCCAAGATCTTATATTATCTAGGAGGGCTTAGCTTATATTCTACCCTGTGCTGTTATTTCTGGTGGTGGCAGTGTTGCCTGTGGGTGTACACACACTAAGAAAGTATGGAGTTCAAACCTTTTGTTTGTGTTCTTTTTAATTTTGGAAATAAGTTCAGGGTAAAAGAATGTTAATGGTCTCATGGATCATTGTGATATAATTTGAAGGAGAGATGCTAGAGACATTCTTATCTTTGCTTTACTACTTACAGCAAGATGGTGTTACATAATGGTCTCTCAGTCCTTCCTTCCTCATCTTCCCCCGTTATTTCCCTCCTCTTTCTGTATTTCTTCTGTTTTACTTTCTTTAACAGAGACCTAAATCCCTGTCCCACTCCATGGTTTCCCAGTGAGATTTAGGCAGCCTTTAATGTTTATCTCCTGAAAGTACTGAATGAGAAAACTGAAACTTAAAGAGTCGAAGTGATTCTGAGATCATGCAATTTGAATTTGGTAGAATAAAAAGTAGTATCTAGGTTTCCTTGTTGCAAAACTTTATGAAAATATATTTATCCCACTGGTGCCTGAAATTTCACCACTAAAGACTTTTAAAAAAATCTAATGCCATATACCATTTATATATATATAATAGTATATTTTATATATATTTATATATTTATATATTTGTATATAAATATATAAATATATATTGTATAGTATATATAGTATATATACAATATATAGTATATAATATATAGTATATATAGTATATAGTATATATAGTATATATAGTATAATATATATATATATATATATATATAAATGACACTGTGTCTGTTTTTTTCACCATGGTATTCCCAGTTTCTAACATGAATCCCAAAACATAGTAGGTGTTTCTTAAGGAGTTTTTTTTTTTTTTAAGATTTTATTTATTTATTTTTAGAGAGGGAAGGGAGAAGGGAGGGAGATAGAGAGAGAGAGAAACATTAATGTGCGGTTGCTGGGGGTCATGGCCTGCAACCCAGGCATGTACCCTGACTGGGAATGGAACCTGCGACACTTTGGTTCACAGCCCACATTCAATCCACTGAGCTACACCAGCCAGGGCTTCCTTAAGGAGTTTTGAATGACTTTTTTGCATGTTAAAATTATGGGACATTTTAATTTCCTTCCTTCCTGCCTGCCTTTCATTATTTTTTGGTGAGCTGCATTTTCTGATTATTCACCCATTAATATATATATTATATATTATATGCAAATATACCTTGCATCGGTAAGGGAACATGTTAAGCCCATGAACAACTAACACTTTATCCTAGTCATTTATGATGCCTTTGTGGACGAGTTAAGGAAATGTGACACTAACTTACTGTTGTATCAAGGTCTGGTTTTTCTTCCCAGGGATTTACCCTTCTTCCTTTTTCGAATTCCTGCACAGAGACCTGGGAGGGAAGCCCTTCTAAGCCGCCCAGTGTTCATCACTCCGTCTTTAGCTTTCTGAACTTGTACTAAAACATCTCTATAACCCCTCTTCAGGTCCTCCTTAAGCATTTCTCTCTTTCCCAGGCTTGTAGTACTCCTGTCATTATCTCTTAGGAAGCTGTTCTTTTCCTCGTGGGCTTTCTTTGGTAGTCATCTTCTCTCCATTTATGACTGTTTGAAGGGTGCTGCCTCTCCAGGATGACCTATAACCTGCATTTGCAAGGTTTACTCTCAGGAGACTTTTTGTTTTAGTTTTTTCTTTTTAAAGCAATTCAGCTCTGTTTAAGACAACTACCCCCAGCACAGTCTTGCCTTGGCTGTGTGTACATGACTGGACAGCTTGATTTTCTGTGAACATGAAGGAAGAATAAAGGTTGGCGCATGTTTCTTCTTCGTGATTATTTAAAATTTCAAAAATGAAATTATAAATCATAAAAATTACATTTTTGACAAAAATGTCAAATAATATGCTACTAGAGAAAGGTTTCAAGGAGGTACACATGTGATATTTTTCTTTTTAAAAAATCTATCAATTGAATGATTCAACAATATTTAGTGAGCAAGGCACTATACTGTTTCAAGGTAGTACATTGTATGAATAGATAAAGGACACATGGATTGTTATTTTTGTGAAATGGATACATACCGTCTTAGTTTCAGCACTATATTGAATAAAGTAGATGAACACATAAATGGATTGTTAGGTATCTTATGGTTAAGGGAAAAATTGCCACAGTAATTTTTTATTGTTGCTCTTCTGTTAGAAGCCGCCCTCCCCTATTGACCTTTAACCGTGGCCGCTTATTGCTGCAGCAGGTAACTGTTCTGCCACTGCTTTCAGAAAGACAGATGTTCAAATGTTTAATATTATACCATGGAAAATTAAATGTTATCCAGAATTATGTCAGAGCTCTGTGAGATTGTAGAGGAAGGACCAGATCGAATCGGGGGAAATCCCTGACCGAGCCTCAGAGGAAATGGCAGGCAAGGCGCAACTGAAACAGTAGGTGGATTGTGCTGGAGAAGGAGGGCGACCCTTTCAGATCTGGTAAACTTCAAGTTCTTTTCTGTGCATCACAGTGAGTTTTTAATCATTATTCCCCATGTTTATCGTACTTCCATGAATTGTTTTTGTATACATTGTTATTTTTAAAGTGAATAATAATATTCCTGACATCATATATAAATATTATTACATTTTCACACTTAGATTAAATTGCTTTCACCATGCGAAACTCTAAGGCAAGTTGACTCCAAGTAAAGCACTTTCTCCAGAAATGATGATTGCCTCCTTGAATTATTATTTATTAGGTCATCGTATTAGAGACAACAGCGTTTACAATTAACATGCGGTTCTGTAGGTTAGTAGTGACTTTCAGTACTGCCTCATGGTAATATAGCATGTCAGAACTTACTGGCGATGTTAGCATTTATTAGATGGATTTATTTTTAAGTTGTAATTACAGTTTTATATAATACTGATACTCTTTATCAGATTTAAAATTTGATTAATGAGCAACTTCTGTGTACACCATTGATACTCATTGTTTCAAATAATTTTGAAGTTTGGTCTGTATTTTAAACATTTTTATAGTATTTACTATTAGAGCAATTTTAGATTTACAGCAAAATTAAGGGGAAGGAGCAGAGATTCCCCTTATGTGCCCTGCCCCCACAAGTGCATAGCCTCTCCAGTTAACATCCGCCACCAAAGTAGTACATTGTTATAAACTTATTACATATCGACAGGTAAGAATCACCCAAAGTCTGTAGTTCACACAAGGGCTCACTGGTGGTGTATATTCCATGGGTTTGGACAGACTTACGATGACAGATTCCACCATTGTAGAATCATACAGAGTAGTTCCACTGCCCTGAGAGTCCTCGCTGCTTCCTAACTGCTGGCAACCGTAGATCTTTTTCTGTCCCCACAGTTTTGCCTTTTCCACAGTGTCCTATAGTTGGAATTCTATTGTGTGCAGCCTTTTCAGACTGGCTTCTTTCACATGGTAATGTGCTTATACATACCCTCCTTGTGTTTTTGTGGCTTGATCGCTCACTTCTTTTAAGTGAGGAATAATATTCCATTTTCTGAGTGTAACAAACTTTATCAGTTCAACTACTGAAAAGCATCTTGGTTGCTACCAAGTTTTGGCAATTATCAATAAAGCTGCTATACACATTTGTGTGCTAGTTTTTGTGTGGGTGGTTTGCCTTTAAGTCAGTTATTTTAATTGGCAGAGTTCTGCAGTAAGTTTAGGTGACCATGTTCTTTTCATAACTAGTCCTGTACAGAAGAAAAGCGATGAAGTCCAAGTGAGTAGAAAGTAAATTAATGTGTGTTTTGTTTTTAAAATTATAATAGGTAGTTTATTGTTGTAAAACATTTAATTTTGAAGTACAGGGAGTAAAGACTTAAATACGCCCTCACCCATACCAGTCATAAGTTCCATTTTACCCTCCTTAGAGGTAACCACTGTAAAAGGTTTACATTATAAAAATTGTTGAAAGTCTCTCATTTCCTTATTTTAGATGGATAAAAATTTTAATAACAGAATAGAATATCACATTTTATTTTCTTACTATATAAATATACCTTTTATGTAATCATATGCTTCTTTTGGTTCTCATCAAAGTCTGTTTTTAGAATTGAGGGATTCTGTAAGTAAGCTTCTGTTATCAGAAAGATACATTTCCTAATAATTTGGGATTAATCAGGTACTTTTTAGTTGAATTTACATTTTCTTAAAGTGAAGTTTTTATTGATACACATTATACTGAGAAATGGGTTACAACTTCATTCACAAAGTTGAAGACATCAAAGCATTCAATAAACAAAATTACCATTGCTCCAAAAGCCCATCTTCCAACCACCAGCACCTGACAGACTCTCCAGCTCCCTCCTGACTTTAGCAGAGTCATTTTGTTGATTTTGAATCATTGCAAGCGTCATTAATTCCATCAATTAAAATGATCTGATATGATATTTTATAATCTCATATAGTTTTAATGTTAAGCAAGGATATATAGAATAACCTTGAAAATATTTTCTGTATATTTTTGTAAAGCTGTAAGGTTCATTTCCGTTAAATAACTAATATTCTTGTATTTAGAATCCAGACCATTGTCAGTCCCTGTGAAAGCCGTGCTGACGGCAGCTGAAGGCTGCAGAAGTCCTGAAGAAAGAATGAAAGAGTTTATTGGAGCGGTGTGGAATGCTGTAAAGAGTCTCACACTGCAGGTAAAGTAGGACGTAGGAATATCATGGTTTTAGCTGCTGTGACCCTTTCTAATTTTCAGTAAAAGTTTTCCTACTGGTAACACTTATGTAAACTATCTAATTTCCATAATTTAAATGAAAACTATTGGTGCACTTTGCATATTACTAACAAATTTATATAAAACACACATTACATGCTCTTTCTAATATAGCTATAAAAATGCACAAACTTTAAGATGTTCCTTGAATTAAAAATTTATTTATTCTACTTTTTACTTCTTTTAAGCATTATTTGAAAGATTTTAAATGCTCATTGTACAGATTACATTTATATCTCAGTATTGAGATAAAAATTTAGTTGGAATTAAATTAAAATATGGGGATTGATTTAGGGGACGGGAGAGGGTGGGGCTGGGATGGAATTGGAAAGGGAGAAAAAGCAGGAACTGTTACAGCATGAACAATAAAAATAAATAAAAAGTTTTTCTAAATATTTCCTTACCTAATCACAAATTAAATATGAAAATGATGATTTTAACTACTTATTTTATTATAAAATTATCTTCCCATTTATTTTTACTTTTAAGTACTCATAATTTAATCTTATTGAATTAACCTCTTTTTAGATCATGATTTGCCTGATGAAAATATACAATTAAATGCTTATTAAGTCTCTACAGGAATTAGGTAAAAGTAGCCCAACAGTTATACATTTTAAGCTTTTGCATAGAACTTTTCTCTTTGAATACAATATGAAAGATTGAGATCAAAGGCATCTTTACAGAACTTTATATGTACCAGACAGTAATATCTCTTAAGTACTGGGGCCTTCCAGTTATGTTTAAGATGTGGAAAATTGCAGAAAAAGTTGCTCACATTAAGCACAAGAGCAAGATCAATGATCTACAAAGTATACCATGGTGCTTCGCCCACAGAAACTTCAAGATAATATTGGGTTGGCCGCAAAGCTTGTTTGTTTTTACCATACAATACCTCCAGTAGTACTTAGTCATCTTTAACTGCATTCTAAACAATTTTGTTAGATTGTATTGTGATGGCTGTCTTATAGCATGCATTTATTTTTTTTAATTATATTTTATTAGACTATACAGTTGTCCTAATTTTTCCCCTTGGCTCCCCTCCACCCAGCAGCCCCATCCCTGGGGCGATCTCCACTCCATTGTTCGTGTCCATGGGTCATTTCGTATACTGTACTTGACATCCCCATAACTCTTCTGTAACAACCAATTTGTACTTCTTAATGTCCTAACCTCTACTTCTCTAAAACTCCCTCCCATCAGGCAACCATCAGAATGCTCTCTGTATCCATGGTTCTGTCTCTGTTCTTCTTGTTTCTTAGTTTGTTTTTTAGATTCATTTGTTGATAGATATGATTTATTGTCATTTTATTGTTCATAGTTTTGAACAACTTTGTTTTCTCAAATAAATGCCTTTATATTTCATATAATAATGGTTTGGTGATGATGAACTCCTTTAGTTTTTTTTCTTGCCTGGGAAACATTTTATCTGCCCTTCAATTCCAAATGATATCTTTTCTGTGTAGAACAATCTTGGCTGTAGGTCTCTGCTTTTCATGACTTTAAATATTTTTTGCCAGCTCCTTCTGGCCTGCAAAGTTTCTTTTGAGAAATCAGCAGGCAGCCTTATGGGAACTCCCCTGTAGGTAACTAACCACTTTTCTCTTGCTGCTTTTAAGATTCTCTCTTTATCTTTATCTTTACCATTTGGCATTTAAATTATGATGTGTCTTGGAGTGGGCATCTTTGCATCCATCTTTTTTGGAACTCTGTGCTTCCTGGACTTGCATGTTTATTTCTTTCACCAAATTAGGAAAGTTTTCTTTCATTATTTTTTCAAATATATTTCCAGTTTCTCTCTCTTTCTTTTCTTCTGGCACCCCTATTATGCAGATGTTGGAAAGCTTTAAGTTGTCCCAGAGGCTGCTTAACACTGTCCTCATATTTTGGGGTCCTTTTTTCTTCTTGTTGCTCTGATTGGTTGTTTTTTTCTTCCTTATGTTCCAAATCATTGATTTGATTTTCAGGTTCATCAACTTTATTGCTGTTTTCCTGTAAATTGTTCTTTATTTCATTTAGTGTATCCTTTGTTTCTGATGGGATCTTTTTTATATTGTTGAGGTCCTCAGTAAGTTCCTTGATCATCCTTATAACTCTACATCTGATAGATTGCTTATCTCCATTTTGTTTAGTTCTTTTTCTGGGGTTTTGATCTATTATTTCATTTGGGCCACTTTGTCCCCTCATTTTGGCATAGGGCCTCCCTATGTTTGTTTCTATATATAAGGTAGAGCTGCTATGACTTCTGTCTTGGTAGTGTGGCCTAATGTAGTAGGTGTTCCGTAGGGTCCAGTGGCATAGTCTCACCTATCACCCAAGCTAGGTACTCAAGGTGAGCCCTTTGTGTGGGTTGATTATACTCTTCTTTTATAGTTGAGCCTTGATTGCTGTTGTTAGTTCAATGGGAGGAATTTACCTGGGCCAGTCACCTGCAAGGACTTGCTATGACCACAGACCACCAATCTCAGCCATCCATGGAGGATCGGCTGTGCAGGGGTAGGGTGATGGTGCTCCAGTGTGGTCTGTAGTTGTCCACTGAGTGCGTAGGCTCTGGGGTTTTTTGAGTGGTGCAGGCCAAGGTCAGCTCCTACCTGTGTTCTACCCATGTTACTCACTCTGCATTAGCTATATTGCAATCTGAGCTGGCTGCTACTTGCACTGGACTTGGAGGTTCACAGAGTGAATCTAGGATGGCTGCTGGTAGTGCCTGGTCTAGGGCCACTTAGCAAGGGATATGGGGGCTGGGGGCTCACTGAGACCAGCTGTTGCTGGTCTGAGAGGATTTAGGAAGTTGTGAAGCATGTGCCAAGACCAGCCATTCATATGGAAAAGTCACTGTTAACCCCTTTGGTGGGCCCATAATTTGAGTGGGATGAAGTCTCAGGGGATCTCCAGTGTGGGGCAAAACAGTGTTAGCCAGATTGATGGAGTCTCAGATACGGCACCTGCTTGCTGGCTCTGTTAAGGGAGGGTTCAGAAAAAGGACAATGGCCTCTGCTCACCTTTCTGTCTGGGAAGAAAGCTGTCCCTCAGCTCTTGCCATGATACCAGACACTTTTGCTCCTCTTGCATGACACTGATGCCTTTCAAGGTACTACCCCAGTGCTGGAGCTCAGAAGGAGTAAGTTGGACTGTCTGTGTGTGGTGTTCTCTAAGAGGAACTGCTTGGGACTCCAGAAGTTTCTTCCACCAATTTAATCACCACTGGTTTTTGCAGCCAAATGTTATAGGGACTTAATCATCCTGGCATTGGAATCCTGTGCTGGAGGCCTGGTGTGGAGCTGGGACTCCTCACGCTTGAGATATCCCTCCTAAATTTTTATCCACCACACGTGGATGTGGGACCAGACCATTCCACATCTGCATCCCTTCTACCAGTCTGGATGGATGTGGTTTCTTTAATTCCGTAGTTGTCAGACTGCTATTCATCTTGAGTTCTGACAGTTCTGACTGATGGTTGTTCTATAGTTAGTTTAGTTTTGATGTGGTTGTGTGAGGAGGCATGCTGAATTCACCTGTGCTGCCATCTTGACCAGCTGATCATCAGTGTGCATTAAAAAAATAACCTTGCCAAACATGGTGAATCTTTGTATAGTCATTTTAATATTGAAGATGGAAATATTTTTTTCCAATATTTTTTTCCAATATTTTTCCAATATATTTTTCCAATATTTTGTTGCTTATTTTAGCAACATTTTTGGTGTATTATGCTTCATTATTTCAAGAAAGGTAAAAATGCAACAGAAACCCAGAAAAAGGTTTTCGGGTTTATGGAGAAGGTGCTATGACTGATTGAACGTGTCAAAAGTGGTTTGTGAAGTTTCGTGGTGAAGATGTCTATCTGCATGATGCTTGATGGTCCAGTACACCAGTTTAAGTTGATAGAGTTCAAATTGAGACATTAACTGAGAACAGTTATACCACGAGGGAGATAGCCAACATACTCAAAATTTTAAATTAATAAAATTATTGGTGAAATTGAAAAATGAGTATTGATCATTACAGAAAAGACCATATGGACTTTTTGGCCAACCCAATACAAATGTACTGCCTTTAGCTGCTACATTTCTGGTAATTTTTTGTGCAGCATAGAAAAATAATAAAGACAGACACATCATGCTTAACTATAATATATTCTGATTACCATCATGAAAACTTACCTAACCAGTGTTAGAACTGTATCTATAAATATCTCCAGTTGCCTAATACCAGTTTGTGAAATGTGATTATTTGAAATACTATTAATATAAGAGCCAATAAACTAGAAATTGGTGGTCCTTTTCAGCTTCTTTTCTGGGCATGTTGATTGTGAAAAAATTAAAAGAGTGAGAAGGAGAAAGTGTGTTTTCTCATTTTTTTTTTTTTGTTGCTAAAACTCTGTCTCGCTGGAAATGAGACCTTTTCACTGATGTCAGCTTTGTCTCACCAGTCTCAGCCAGCATGAAGCCTTTTACAGTTAATATATTCCTAATAGCAAGCTGTGTTGACTCCCCTGTTCTTTTCTAGAGTTTCCTTTGAAGCACTGGTGGCAGTAGACAGGACAGTTGAGACCTCATGAAAACAGGAAACGTAGTGCTTTTGCGTTGTCTGTGATTGTAGAAGCAGAGAATATGCAGTACTCTTACGATGTTGCTGAACATTTGTAGTCAATGTTAATTTCTTTCATTTATAATAAAATACTGCCTTCTTCTAGTCTTCTTCATTGTATATCACTCACTTATCCATGCCCTCCTTCATATTAAAACTTAACTAGACCATTTGTGTTTTGCTCCTGAATGCTTTTTATATTTATTCACTTAAATACATGTACTTTTTGTTTTGATAAAACTCTTCCTCTCAGGGAACACCCATAATTGATGGGAATGAGAATGGCACATGGGAATTCTGTGTCACTTATACTCTCTCACTTTGGTCAAACTCAGT